GTCTTACAGAAGCATTTGGGACACGTTCCTGGACTTTTACTTTACTCTGCTTTGTCATTTTCTGCTGGCAGAACACGATGCCCATCTGGCACAACACTGTACTTTGTGCTATGATTCTGACTGCTGAACTTGGAGAAGACAATATAGTCTCAGGACTACATTTTATTATATTGTGTCTGGCCTAAAGGGAAAAAATAGTAGTCATGACAAGGCTTGATTTTCCCTTTCTTCATTCAGAAATGAAATGTGATAGGTGAAAGTGCTTTTTATAACGAGCACGTATATGACAGAGTGCATTGTGCATTCCTAAATTAAAAGGAAATATTTGAAACTAAAATTGCCTGCTTATGTAAATCCCTGTTGTCTATCTTCTCTCTGTTGTTTGAAAGACATTTTCAAGGCATAGGAACTCTTCCAAGAATATATTCAAAGTTGTTTCACTGTTAATTGCTAAGACTGCATTTTGAACCCTTTGATATAGAATCACAGAATCATAGAGTGTTAGGGGCTTGGAATGGACCTTAAAGATCATCTAGCCCCCTCCCCCACTACCATGGGCAGGGACACCTCCCACTAGACTAGGTTGTTCAAGGCCTTATCCAAATTGGTTTTGAAAACTGCCATGGTGGGGGCATTCACAACCCTGGGCAACCTGTTCCAATGTCTAACCATCCTCGCAGTAAATAATTTCTTTCTAATATCTAACCTAATTTTTCCTTTGTTCAGTTTGTACCTTTTACTCCTTGTCCTTTCACTACAATTCCTGATGAAGGGTCCCTCTCCAGCTTCCCTGTAGCCTCCAGAGCAAAGCAACTGAGTCTAGCTGCTCTCACAAATGCCTTCACCTACCAACTCCTTGCTCTGTAAATAATCAATGAGGGACCAGAATGTGTTTTCATCTGAATTAAATCATGTAAATCATGTTAATATCATGTAAACACAAGCACATCTGTAGCAGTGAGTTAAAAATATTTCTTACCATGCATGTTGGAGCAGTGTGATTGGATGTGTGTGTTTTAAATACTTTCTTTTCTCTATTTGAATGAAAACAGGAGAATAGGCTTCAGTGTGTTGGAAATGTACAGAGCAGAAATCTCAGTGCAGTATGCAAAGATTTCCTTTATACACCTACCTTCTGGTTCAGATGCTTCACTAGAACATGTTTTCTGATTAAATGAGCATTCTCCTCCTGTCAGAGCTTCTCATGGAATTTCTGTAGCATTTTGGCCTCATTGGCGGGGTACCTTGATCTCCTCTGATGCACAGTGTGGATCAGAGGCACTTGCCTTTCTCTACCCAGGGGAGTATTTATTTATCTGCTGGGACTCAGCAGACTCCATTTCTACCCACTTCAGCTCAGGGCTGGCTCCTTCTCTTGCAAATCCCCTCGGGAAACCCAAAATGGCAATCAGCAGCGCAGCAGCAACACAGAGCCCTCATATCTCCTCCTGGTGCCTCTGGCTGTGGTTTTTGGGAAGCACATCCAGTAATGCTGTGCCTCCCACCCTGTGTGGTATCAGTGTGATGCTGTTGTGGCTGTGCTCCCATCCTCTGGGGTGAGGCCTGGGGCAAGGGCAGCAGTGTGGGGAAAAAGCATGGTGCAGCCAGTGTGAGGACCTGCCACTTGTGGGTGCAGCACAGAAATGATGGAACATGCTTGAGGAGCTTGTTTAAGAACCTAAATAATTCACATCCCACTTCGGCCAATTAATACATCCAATGCAGTGAGTGGAGCCAAAAGACCATTTTGTATTGGCCAAAGAGCTGTCCCAAACTCTCAGTCCTTAATATGTTGTACTTATTGTAGAAATTACAATGGCAAAAAGAGAAATTTAGGTAATGCAGGATAAGAGACGGACTTGAACCCTCAAGGAAGAAAAAGATATTTTCATTTATATGTTACTGGTAATAGTAACTCCAAGAAAATTAATTATACATTCAGATCTTGTACATCATACATAGTCAGATTTATTCCTAAGTGGCATATTATCAAAATTTCCAGTGGCATTTCAGCTGTTCATTAAACTTTACTGTAGGACATAGTGACGATTTATTACACAGCTATAAAAGCAGCAGTAATCATTATAAATGCAAGCTTTCAATGTTTCTTTCTCTAGGTTTAAATCCCTTTTATTCTCCTTTTTTCCCCCACCACTACATCTAATGAAATAGAGATTGTAGCAATCAGTAAGCAAGGAGCCACCTCCTTCAACAGCAGCCAATTACCTCCTCTGGTCTATACAGGAGAGGGAAGTGTTCACAGATTAAGTAGCCCCCTGTAAAATACAGTTCTGGATTTGTGTCAAACTAGCCAATTGCATAGTGAGGAACAAAACCGAAAAAAAAAAAAACCACAGCTGTGCTGAGGACCCACATCTGAAAAAAAAAAAAAAAGGGGAACATCTACTTTTATGAGGAATTCCTTTGTTTTGAGCAGAGTTGCAAAAATAATATGCAACACTAATGCATACAGAAAATTCATTTCTATACTCTTTGTGATGGCTTTCCATGCCACTTCCATGAGTATCTTACATGATCTTTACTCTGGCTGCCACAGCAAAATCTTTGTGCTATGGATACTTGCTTTATTGGTTCCACTCTTTAAAGGGCATGTGCCTCAGCAACTGCAGATTTCTGTCTGGCAGTATCTGTGCACTGAATCTTGTGATGTGCTGCAGTCTTCTTGCAAGCTCAGCTAATCAGTGGGCAGCAACAAGCCCCAGGTGACGTATTTGACTAACTGGCAGCTAATCAAGCTGATTTGAATTTTGCATGTCACATATTGGCAGCAAACTGTTCACATCATAATCATAAAATACGTTTTGAACCAATCTAGGAAATGCATTTCAGGCAACGCTGATCAGTTTGCAGGTCTGCAGCGTGGTGAAGTAGCTCACATGCATCAGAAAAATTATGTCTCCTGAATTATTCATTCATTTTTCTTTAATTCAATAACAGGCAACAATTTTTATTCCAAGAGTTACGTGGTTAGTGTTAGTTACCAAAATGCAGTAAACAAATGTGACCATTAGTAACAGTTGACTTTTCACCACTTTTTCTGCCTTTTTTTGAGTTGTTTGGAGTACCACTTATTCTGATGTCTAAAGAGGTTTTGTCATGTGGAATCAAGTGGTGTAAGGAGTCAAAGAGTATGGAAATGGCTGTTGTATTGCACTGTATGCACAGTGAAAATGGCAAGCAAAGGCTTTCTCTTCTTCCTGTGACAGGAGTATTGAGTAATTAGCAGAAGTTTATGTATTTTTATTAGGAAGTAATTAGCAGCCAGAGAATATGGTATTGTAGAGATGGCCTAGGTTATATTACAGTATTGGATGATTCAGAAATAGACCCAGTTTCTGAACTACTTAGGTGAGTGATTACACAATGGAATTGTCCTCCCAAAATGCATTGACAATTACCAGAATTGTGCATGCCACTGGGAAATTGCTGATACTAATTACCATCATTAGATACTTGAATACAAAATATCTGCAAATGCTTCAGGAATTAGACGTAAAATGGATTCTCTTCTTTCAGGTCAGCTGTGCATGTATGTCTAAAGACTAGGAGACAAAGATTAAGCCTATAATTAGGTTACAGATTTTTCTTTTATATACCTGTGAACATCTCTATGAGATTTACATTTTAAAATGGAAAATTTAGTTAATATTTTACTTAGTTTGCTTTGTGATACATGAAGAATATTTAAAACTCAAAAAATACATCAAAGACTCACCCTTTTGATACTTTATTAATTGATGAGTTCTTTCAAAAGACGTATCCCCCAAATTAATTGTATTTCATACAAGTGTATTTCACTCACTTTTTGGGACTCACGTCTTTGTAGGATGCCTCAGGTTGTGAAGACAGCACTTAGCCAGCACATTCAGAGGATAAAGCATCTCACAGGTGGAGGATTGTTCTAGCTGACTCTTAGCACATAGGGCAAGAAAATAGCAGAAGTACAAAATCCCTGGGGAATGTGGGGGGGAGGGGGTTGGGGGAGGGTTTTTTGTTTGGTTTTGATTCCTTGTACATCTCACCTGTCACTTGTATTGAAAAACTAGGCAAAGTTATCACTTCAGAAATACAACTGTGACCTTTAAACTTCTAATTTGACATAGTTATGTAAAGCTACTTCCTTAGCGTGCATTTTGTGTTGTGGCATGTTAACTCGTGGCTTAAGCCAAGTCTAATATAAAATTTAATGCATATCAAATCTTATCAGGTGGCCTATGCTGTTGGAGTGATTTCCCAGGTTAAGGCATACTATGAGTGCGTTTTTCATGGTTTCTATGATCTGCCTGCCCTGTTGGCCCATACACCCTTGAAAACCCCATGAGAAACAGTCCTGTTTCATGAATACACACATGAGAGCGTGTCAGATCACATCACCAGCAGCATTTTGAGATGTGGATGTTCATTTAATAAATTTAGAATCATCCAGCTGATCGAAGTATCAGGCCTCTTCCTTCTTTACCCGCCTCCCCAGCTGGTTTTGATGGTTGCTGCATTCATCTCTGTAAGGCCACAGGGCTTTCTCTGCTGCTCATCTCAGTGGCTTCTCTTGCTCTTTTAAAATCATCTTGTGAAGTCATTTCAGTGTTGTCACTTCAAAAATCCCACCTAGTGGGGGGGGTTGCTGGAGCTGGGTGCTGTCATTGTCAATACAGTGTAAAATTTTTCCATTCTGCTGTCAGTAAAGAAAATGAATGTGATTTTGCCATTATGCTTAGACATGGTTTACAGAAAATGAAAAGGAAATCCTTTCCAACCTTTTCTCTTCCTTCCACCAAATAAAAGGGTGGCGTAATCCAAATAAAAGTACTGACATTGCCTTTATTTTATAAATATACAAGAACTGTGTCATGACTTGTTCAAGTCATGCTGTTCCAGTGAAAAACATCTGGTTATTCTCACTCCCGGTGAGGCCACTTGGATTTGATGGAACCTCTTTTCTCTTCCTTTCTTTTTCTTTTTTCCCCACCCAAAACTCCCAGGATATCCAGTGAACACTCGCCAAAGCTCCAGATCCGGAGCCACAGTTACCTGAGGGCGGTGAGCGAAGTCTCCATCAACAGGAGCCTGGACAGCCTGGACCCCGCAGGGCTGCTGACCTCCCCCAAGTTCCGCTCCCGCAACGAGAGCTACATGAGAGCCATGAGCACCATCAGCCAGGTGGGTGACCTGCACCTGGGGCAGCCTGGAGAGCCAGTGTAACGCTGGACACTGCTTGCACTAGGAGAAATTGGATTTTGCTTTAAGTGGTGCTCACCAGCCCATTTATCTGCACCTGGGGCAGCCTGGAGAGCCAGTGTAACGCTGGACACTGCTTGCACTAGGAGAAATTGGATTTTGCTTTAAGTGGTGCTCACCAGCACTCTCATTGAACAGGGTTCTTAAGGATCTTGTGCTTAGTGCCTCCAATCAATCAAAAATTTTTGAATGCCTCAAAAGAAAGTTCGTATGCTGAGTGAAGGGCTAATTTAAAATTAGGCTGTTAATAGTTTGTATTCCACAATTTTAATAGAGACTTTATTTTATGCATTCTTTACTTTGTGTACCTCCAAACCTTTCACTTAAATAGTACAGATATTACAGGACATGTATTAAGTGAAAAAATCTGTCTGTATTTTTGCTCTGAAATTCTGTAAGAGATCTTCATGCTCCTAAACAAGAAGAAAAATGAAGTCTACTGTGACAGATTCAGTTTATGTGTTTTAATGTTATAAAATAGTCTGTCCTTGCATTCAGCATGCTTGTACAGTTGAGTTCATAGGGAACAGATCTGAAAGAAGTGCAAAAGGGCCAGTACACCACGGGGCAGAGGGCCAGTAGTTCATCTGCTACATCCTCCAGCTCCTTGTTGTGATTTTTGGCTTGTTAACTTAAGTGGATCATTTGGGTAAATCACTTGGATGAAAGAACTTCCTTACACTAGTCCAGAAGTGCAGCAGGCAGGATTTGTGGTGCCAGATACTGATCCCTAATGACTGGCATACCAAATCATCACCATGTCAAAAAAAGTGTGTAACATCAGTGACACCAGGACTTCAGCTATGGCCCTAACAAATACATCTGCTATTCAATATAGAGCTGTAGCTTCCCTTTCTGCAGTCTTCTATATTTAGACACTTCAGAGTACTTACCTGTGTATTTTGAAGTGAGGCACTTTGCATAGAGCATGGGCTGATGCTTTAAAAAGAGGGTCAGGATGTATCTGGGAGAAAACAGCACAGAAATTCATGTCTCAGAGGCAACTACATCAACATTAGGTCAGGTTACTTATTTAGCTGCATACCTAACACACAAAGCTGCCAGCCAAGAAGTGGTTATCCTTTGCCAAGGTGAACAAGTTTTTTTGGTTTAAAAATGCATTAATTCAGAGATATTTACTTGAGGATTGGATATTCTCTGCTATTGTAAGATTGTTCTTTTTGTTGTACTGCCTACTACTCTTCCAGTCTTTTTAAATAGTTTTCCTTTGAAAAAAATATATTTTGCTCTCTGAGATTTTTCAGTTATGTATACAAAGACTCCACAAAGCGTTTTTCTTGGTAACATTAATCCTGGAAGAGAATTTCTAATGGGGTTTTTTTCTACCTTCCTAACATAGTCTTATCTTCTCCTGCTAACTTGGTCTTCTACATGCTTGAAAACTAACAAAATCCTCAAGTGATTGTTTCCATCTGCATGTCTCATACAGTGATAATTATTGTGCTTTAATGCCAAGCTCAGGGCTCAATGCTCAGTTTAGAAACATGAGCATCCATTAATAATTAAGCCAAGGTAAATGGTTTCCAGATTCTTAAGACCTGTAGGAAGTTTTTGAATGCTCTTTAACCACCATGAGCACAAGTCTTTGTCACCACCTAGTGTCTGCTGCACAAAGGGTCTAAAGATTCCTTTGCATCTGCTCTCAGCCAGAAATTTTGTTCTACAGACATTTTTCCCCAGCAGCAAAGCTGGTTCCCTTACCAACCTCCCCTTCCTGTATTTGTTACCCTGCAGCTTTCCAGCCACTCAGGTTTTATCAGTGTGATTGCCTGTGGGTTGCATTGATAATGTACTGGGGTTAAGCTGACCCTTCTTATTTTTTCCTCACCACACAATGAAAGTATGATTTTTGTTTTACATGTAATGACCACAATGACCAATCATTCAACCTCTGCTCTGGGTCCTGGGTCATGTAAAACAGAAGTTGCTATGAGGGCTCCAGGCTTCCCACCAGTTTCAGAAGAGCCAAGAGCCCAAACTCTGCTGAATCTTTGCCAACGTCTCTGTCTCCCCTTTTTATACATTTTTTTTTTCCCCCCACAATTGCTGCTATGGGATGTCCCATTTATCTTTCATGTGTAAAGGGATCCTCTAACAGGTGCTGGCCGTTGTGCCACCGTAGCTTGAGAGTGTTCTACTGACTCCACGTGACATTTGCCACTAATTTTTCTTTATCAGAAAGAATTCCTGGGTTAGGCTTCCCTGCTCTCTGTCTACCCCCGCCCTTATCTCTGTCCTTCGGCTGAAACAGTTTCTCCAAGCATAGGCTTTTTATGAGAACAGGCAGTCAGACTAAACAGCTATGTTTGCAAGCTACAGATTTAACTCAAAGATGTACATTTCACCTAAATCAAAATGGATTTCTACTCTGGAAAATTTCCACTCTGTCTCATTTCTCCCCCCTTTCCTAAAAATAAGTAAATTCTTTTACTTAATGCAAATCCCTACTACAATAAGTGTCTCTTAATGCTTTACCATGTACATTTGATAAGGAGGTTAACATAGCTACTCGCTGTAGTATTCTCCAATTCCAAATTAGCAATACAAAGGATAACCCTAAACTTACTCCAACTAATATTAACAAAACTACAATGGGATGGCACAACTTCTTATTAAAGATCCCACTTGCATTTGGTGACCACCCAAAGATCACATCCCACCGGTGATGATCCGCATTTTGTTTTATTCTTTGCAGAATTCTGGTTATTTCTTTTGTATCCTGTTGGACAGTAATTAGGGTTTGCGTGGAATATCCACGCGCGGGCCGCACTGACCCTGCCGGGTGTCTGCCTGCAGGTGAGTGAGATGGAGGTGAACGGCCAGTTCGAGTCCGTCTGCGAGTCGGTGTTCAGCGAGCTGGAGTCCCAGGCTGTGGAAGCGCTGGATCTGCCCATGCCGGGCTGCTTCCGCATGAGGAGCCACAGCTACGTGCGGGCCATCGAGAAGGGCTGCTCCCAGGATGACGAGTGCATATCGCTGCGCTCCTCCTCTCCCCCGCGCACCACCACCACCGTGAGGACCATCCAGAGCAGTACTGGTGAGTAACACAGAGGGAAATCCAGAGGGGGGTGGCAAGGCAAGGTTCTTCCCGTGCATTTCCATCAGATCAAGCTTTTCTCTGCCCGATGCCAAGCTCTTAACGGAGTCTTGTGTTTCACCAGGGAGCTGGACAGACTAATCAGCCTCAAACCACGCATAGACCAAGGCTGATGCCTTTGATATGGTTCCTTCTGTGTCCAAGCTAATTTATTCTGAGCTAAAAGCATACAGAAGGGAATTCCAAGGTCATGTCTCATCTTGTTATCCTCCCCAAAAGAGCAATCACAATTTGGCAAGGCTGAGCAAAGAAGGCTCTGGGTTGGCAGTTCTGCTGACTGTGACCAGCAGAGAAGAGTCCCTCTGATGAGGTCTTCTACAAAGTTGAAGTGATTGTATAAGTTACTGGATGTGGTTTTTACTGGCTTGAAGAGACTGTTCCAGCTCTCTAGGCCCCATCTAAGATGTGAGAATGAAGAAAGGAAAGAAGAAGCAGTCTGCAGGTCAAAACATGCATGTTCACATTTTGCTGTTACATTCTTTCTGCAGTTCAAACTATTCAAGCCTCGCTAGAGGAAGAGGTTTCGGTGTAAACATGAGACTTCTAATCTGCTTTTTAATGTTCGAGGTTGCTTTTCTTTTGGAAATAACCATGATGAATGTCAGATTTTGTCACCAAAATCGTGCTTAAGGGGAAGAAAAACCAAGTAAAACCAAATTCCAAATCTGCCTCTCTCATTCAGGAAAGCAAGAGGCAGGAGCCATTACATGTGTGTGCTCTTCCCTGTGGCAAGATGAGAGAGAGCCTCTTTCTTTTGACTTCTGTGCAACCATTCCACTGTTTTACACAAGCTTCATTTACTATTCATGTACTGTTCATATACTAATCATGTTCTTGACTAATATTGACTATTATACGTATTTCACTGTACCTGCTATCTCTTTTGCTGTGTTTTTTCATTTCTGTTTTCTGTAAACTTTTGTCCTTCTGTGTGTTATCTCAGAGGTGCAGTTGTTTATTCCTTGTAAGTCTTTTTTAAAGCTGCTTGTCAATTGTTCTGTGTCATCAAAGAACACTTTAAATCCTTTTACCAAAAATGTTCAGCTAAATTAAAGATTTTTCTAAAAGTAGCAAGTTAAACTACTGTTGGAAATATATTGGCAGTACATCACAAACATCAAAGCATTTTTAACAAATGCTGCAGAGAAGTTCTCATCTAAATCACTAAAGAAATAGTATTCACATGACAGCATTTCTGCTATAGAAATAGCCCTTGTGAGCACACAGGGTTTGCCCCAAACCACAAAGACAGGACTTGCATAAGGTGTGTGCTACTTCATTGTGTGGTATTAGTTTGTGTCAAACATATTCTGAGGCAAAAGCTGAAGGATGGGAGTTTTCAGGGATTTTTCAGTGTGTACTCATCTTTGTTAAATCAGCTTGGGTTGATCCCAAAAAGGGTTTTCTATTCTGTGAGAATGGCTTTGGTAACACTTTTCCTTTATGAAAATAACTGTGATCCTAAATACAGAAGAGAATAACTATTTTTCATTATCCCTATGTAAGAGGTTGTTTCTGTCACTTAGGAAAATGATGCTCGTGTCTGGGGATGATGATGTATAAATGGAGAAGGTTGGCTGTGTGTGCCAGCCAAAAATGCTGGAAAACACGAAAGAGGAAAATCTGTACTGTAAACTATCTCTTGTTTATGGTCCCTTTTTTGTAGTGAAACCATAGAGACCTGATCTCTTCTCTGGGTAGCTGGCTTTAATTAAAAAAATCATATGAACAAAACTGTGATATTGAAAAACATAATCCAGTGAGTATGTCTTGAGTTATTGCTTCTGTAGTCAGGGTGTTAAAAGCAGAGAGAAATGATTTGCAGTGCTCTCTGGACGTACATACAAGCATTAAAAGATTGCTGTGGATGCCTGTTTTCTGCTGTGGGAATTTTACTGAGTTATCTTTTTCATTTTCTAATTCTTGGGCTCCAAGGGCCCATCCCTTCTGCTGGTAGCCTTTCAGACAACTTGTCTCCTTTAGTACCTGACTTACATACCACTGTCTGCTTAATGGGTATTAGAATTTAATTAATTATATTCAAAAACAAGGTGCTGACTACCTTGGTGTTGCCTGTGCCTGGCTCACAGAAGAGAAATATAAAGGCAATGTTGATGGTTTCTATTTATATCTGCTTCAATAAAATGGAAAATGGAAAAACAACTAGGCAGACATGAAGAAAGGAGAACAGTATCTCGGGTTTATCTCCACCGAGGTGATGTTGCAAATGTTTTTGTGGAGACATGGGAGCAGTTATGATCTAAAAATGGTTTTAATATCCCCAAATCAGAGAACAGTCCTCCTGCCCCTAAAGTATCTCTGCCTGTTCAACCAAGAAAGATTCCTTTCATCAACATTAGCAATACCCTCAAGAACGTGGCTTTTAATTCACTAATGCCAAAGCTGTGATCATGCACTGATATTGAGAATCTCTTTGCCAGCTGAAAGTCCAGGGAAATGCCAGCTTGATGGTGGAAAAGACAGGAGAGCTGTCAGTTTACTGGATTCAAAATTGTTCCTCTAGAGCAATGATCCACAACTTTCCAGGGCATCTGGATAAAGCAAGAACTATGGACAAAAATCACACTTTGCCTGTTAGCCTTTGCTGTTGGGGTGGCAGCCTTAGGTTTTCATTTCCTTTTGTCACACAGTGTTGGCAGTTTAGTTCTGCAATCAGGAATTGCACCTCTAGCTCAGTTCCTGAGGATGTTCCCAGTCTGACTACAAATCTGGGCACTGACTATGGCACAGAGCTCAGCTAAGGGTGGCTGCCCACCTGGTGGCCTCTGCAGCCTGCACTGACTTTATGCTGCTGTGGGGACACTGAGGGGTGGCTGCAGCTCAGTGAAACAGCCCAAATGTAAAAATGGAGGTGGAGGCACAAACATGATGTCACTAAAGGGGTGAAATGTTACACTATGAGTGGGGAGGAAAATTCTAACCTCACCAAAGTCTGCTACCAAATTTCCTCCTAATGTCCAACCTAAACCTTCTGTCCAACCAGGCACAGCTTAGGAATAAGTCCTCTCATGCTGTCACAGTTTGCCTGGGAGAAGGAGTCAATCCCCATGTGTGAGTCAATGCATACAGGTAATGATGGCAACCACCAAACCACAGCTGAAAGGCAAAGAGTAGAGTTATTTCATTACCTCACCAACATGGCTGGGCAGAAGAGACACACATTGGTTCATGGCCTCTGTGGGGCTTAGTTCATCCTAGTGAAAAGGCACAGGCTCCAATAGATTTAGTTCATCCTAGAGCACAGTAATGAGGGGAACCACTGCTTGCCCCAGGCATCAAAGGGTCTTACACGTGTAATTTATCACAAGGCTGTGCTTTTATGATATTTCACTTCCAGCAGAACGCTCAAGCATGTCTGTGTGTTGTCTCTACACAAGAATTCTACTTCTCAAAACCAGCAGAGAATGAACAACACTGGGCATAATAAATAGACACTTGTTCCCACTCTGACATTCTTAGCATTCCCAGCTGCAAGGTCACTTTGAGCAAAAACTATTCCCTCCTTGCCAATCTTCCTGTTTTAACCCTTTCCTCCCAACACCCACCTGGCTACAAACTCCGTTTATCCTTGCTTTTAAATGAAGGGTTTTGGAATGAGGAAGAGAAAATGCAATCTTGACATTTTCTATGGAATTATAAATCACACACAGGATCACTGGGTTGGAAGAGATCTTTAAGATCATTGAGTCCAACCCAGCCCTAAAACCTCAATTAGACCATGGCACAGAGTGCCACATCCAGTCACACCTCCAGGGATGGTGACTCCACCACCTCCCCGGGCAGACCATTCCAGCATTTTATCACCTTTTCTGAAAAAAACTTTTTCTTAATATCCAACCTATATTTCCCTTGGCACATCTTGAGACTGTGTCCTCTGGTTCTGTCAGTTGCTGCCTGGAGAAAGAGACCAACCCCCACCTGACTACAGCCACATTTCAGGGAGTTGTGTAGAGAGTGATAAGGTCACCTCTGAGTCTCCTTTTCTCCAGGCTGAACACCCCCAGCTCCCTCAGTCGTTCCTCACAGGGCTTGTGTTCCAAGCCCCTCACCAGCCTCATTGCCCTCCTCTGGACGCACTCAGGAGTTCTATGTAGTAAGCTCTATGTCACAACTGCATCATGCCTTGAAAGTTAATCAGCTGAAAAGCTCTGTTCACCCTCCTATTTGCCCTCTCAGTATCAGAGGTACCCATGGAGGCATCCTGACTGGGGCCACCCCTGGGAGCAGGGCTGTGCAGGCCGGGAGGCAGAGCGGCCCTGAAGTGCTGACATATGTTATACACCATAGGCTGCACTAAAAATTAACACCCAGGTCATTTGAGCCCTTCAAAGGAGTTTAATGAGCTGTGAGTTATTACATAATTTGATCCCAGGTTATTTGCAGATGCAACTATTGTAGCTGAAGCGCTTCACAACAAATCCAGTCACTAAATAAGTAGCCTTTTAACAATTTTAAGTCTGTGAATCATTTCAATGAGCTTGAAGAATGCAGTAATTAAGAAACAATTAAATGTTAAAGGAGTCAAAAGAACATCTTTCTACTACATTTATTGTGTCTCTGTTTCTAAACTTTCCCAATGTAGCCGTGCATGATGCTTTGCTGTAAACAAACCTTGTGACATTGTGAGGGCTCAGGCATGGGCACACATGCATACAAATATATAATATAGTATAATGTACAAATATGTAATGATATCTCTCTGACAGAGCTCAAGTTGTAACATCAGGAAAAACTCTGCACTGGATTGCAATTCAGTTCCTATCCCCCGTAAAGTTAGGGGAAGAGAAATATCAGAGTTATCTGCAGCAATGCCATCTGGTGATTCTCAGTAATATTACACTTCTGCTTAAAAGCAAAATAAGTAAAAATCCCAAGGAAATCATGCTGTGTTGCCAGCAGGTTAGAGAAGGACAGAGAGT